TGTGTTATTTTTTGTACTACTGTTTAAAAACATTTCATTAGATAAAAGTACAAAACTGCTCGTCAAGGTTACTTTCATCCTATTTTAATATTTTTATTTAGTATAATTAAGTATTGATGAAATAACGCTGGTGTTTCTGTTCTACAGTAATGCGACATTAGATTGCCGGCACAATTCTCTTAAGCATCAACACAACTCGATTATGCTGGCTGCATATCTATTATAGAGCACGAGTGGATTATTCACACAGATAAATCGTTCATTGTTCGTCCTCAGCAATCTAATGTCGCATTACTGTAGAACAGAAACACCAGCGTTATTTCATCAATACTTAATTATACTAAATAAAAATATTAAAATAGGATGAAAGTAACCTTGACGAGCAGTTTTGTACTTTTATCTAATGAAATGTTTTTAAACAGTAGTACAAAAAATAACACAACAACCATCTCAGTGAATTTATCACTGCATCATTTTTTTTACTCTTGTAATTTGTACATAAGTTGTCATTAACAGTTGCATTAGTCAACAAGACTAACATTAACGATGATAGTTTCTTATTTTTACTTGTGCTAAGAACAGATAATTCCATTGATAACAACATATTTCACTGATTTATTGATTTGTTTTCAGAAATTAATAGTACATAGTGGTGCTGAGATAATATATTATGAACTGGACAAGAACGTTAGTATTGTGTAACATACTTCGAATGAGAAAAAAATATCATTCAAGTGTATCCAATTCATCTCCGTTAAAAGATCATCGCTTACCGCCAATGAGTTGTGAAATCAGTAAGCCAGAGAATAGTTGAAAATACTTCATTCAATCAGCAATCAATGAAAAGTTCCGAGAACAGTTTACAAAAACGAAGGTTTATGTGCCACATTATGATTAGATAGTTATCTGTTTTCTCACTAAATTTAGCGTGCTTCCAGGAGCTTCTAAAACATTAAGGTCGCACAAACCTATAAATCTCTTTGTTCTGTCTACCTAGATTAACCTTGGATGTAAACCTTCTTTTCATACCTTCCCTTTGTGGCTCAGGTGTAGAAGAAATGTTGTGAAACAGTAATCACTTAGCAAATAGTTATCAAGTCTTCCGCCATTAAACTTACTACAGGATTACCACTGGCTTCTATTTTGTGTCATTTATAATAATAATAATCTTGTGAGTTGTTAAAGGAAGTTGTGTGTCTATTTCTGACTTCGTTTACGCTTCTACTGAATGATCATTGATATATTAATCCATCAATAGAATATTTAGAATTTCAGTTGAAGTGGGTTATTGATATTTATTTCACTTAAGATATTTTTATTCAAATAACACAAAAACACCAACAATGAGCGAGTTAACGAATAATGTTGAACAAGCGAATATGTATGCTTAGGATAATGACTAATTTAAAAGACCCAAACAATCAATGTTTAAGCGGATCCGTTAGATAATGGCGTAGACTAACACATAAATGAGTTCAATCATACAACCTCACTTCTACAAGCATGAATATATACGTATAAAAGTATGATAGAATTATGATGGCTTGATGTAATACCATTCTGTCTGTCCACCAGATAGGCTAATAATTCAAAGATAGAGTAATTTGAACATGTATATAATCGTGTGTCTGTGTATGGATTTAGGTATAAATCATATTTACTGTGTTCCAGAAAAAATGCATCGAGTTGGACAGAATGAAAACACCATAAAGAATAGCTGAGTTGAAATAATTAGTGTACAACCGTTGGAACAGTATGAAATTGAAATGTAATGATTTGTGTGAGTTTTATGTTTATTAATGAGGAATTCAAGTCAATAAACAAAATTTTAAGGTAAACAACTGCCCAAAAAAAATGTTTTTAAAACTTTCATTCAAAAAGAATTATTTTAGCGTGCAAAGTGTTCGTCGATTGGGAGGTAGCATTGAAACGATATTTCCTACTCCCAATTTAAATATCACCTATGAAACAAAATTGTTATTTCCTCATTCAATGATCCCCTTCAATAATATGTGTCTTTTTGATGGTCACCCCTATTACCACTCACTCTTTTCCATTGCATTATTTTGATAGTTTCTCTTTTGCTCGCGCTCTTATGAGTGAATACTTCCTGGCTGGGTTAGACACCACTTATCTCGTCTTAGCTGGAAATTTTGTTGGACAATTCCGAATTGGTTCACCCATTCTCCTTCATGTCTTCTACCATGGTTCTATTAGCTAGGAAATAGTTCTCCAGGTATGCAAGCCATAAAACATGATTAGGCGCTTTAAAGATAGGGTTGTAATAATTAATTATGTAAGTCGGTATTAATGAGTGTATCAATGCTATAGGACTAAGAGACTTGATATAATTTATCAATATGGGGACTTGTGGAAATTATAGTATTTTAACAGTTGAGTTCACGAGTCTACCTAAGCTAGACCGCGCGCTCACGCAAGACCGAAGGTCCTTGATTCGAGTCTCGCGTACGAAATCGTGGATGCACACTGCTGAGGAGCCCCATACTAGGACGAAACGGCTGTCCAATGCTTTCAGGTTCTCATTTGCGACATAATTTAGTTGAATAGCCTTGTCGTGATTGTCTAACCTATATTATTTAACGTCGAAGTCACAACATTTTCTCTCTTAACTTGCTTTACCGCGACAGTCATAGTTTACCTCTCCGTAACAACCCTTGAAGAACGAATTTAACCTTACCATTAAAGTATATTTAATGCAAAGACAAAAGAATTACATTGAAATATAATTCCTTCGTGGTCGAGCTCTACAACCTGAATAACATCGGCGCGTTGGTGTTCATTGACTTTATTATTCATTTACCATTCAATGACAAAATGTAAAACTTTTGAAGTAGGATTCATACAACTTGAAGTATCACATAATTGGATTTTAGCGTTATCCCTCTGTCACTAAAGGAACAAGAATGATAACACCCACGGACTCTATGTTACAAGGTTCATTAGGATTAAATATTTCAAACATGTTCAACTATAACGAATGACTATTATCAACAGTTGAGATCATGAGTCAATTGAAGATAGACCACCATGGAAAACCTGGAAGCACCGGACGGCCGTTTCGTCCTATTTTGTTCTAGTGTTTCCAGGTTTTCCATGATGGTCTAGCTTCAATTGACTCATGATCTCAACTGTTGAAATTACTACAATCTCCACAAAACCCCTTCTGATACGAATGAATATATGTTTAAACATAGAAAACAGAACATACCGGTAGTAATAATAATAATAATAACGAGCCAAACGAATTATACTGTAATACAAAATGAAATAGAATCACTAAACATTTGCAAACCATTTAATTGTATAAATTAAAAAGTAAAATGTCAATATTATTGTTGTCAATGTTAATTTATGTGTAAAAGTTGATCCATATAATTAAATGGAATTTTTTAAACTCGGTTCTTATTTAGTTTACTACTGTACTGCCAACAATATAGACCGTTTTTCACTCCAAGTAATATCGATGCAGTAGGCGAAATGTGTCCATTCACTATTACATGTCTTATTGTATGTCTGTATTTAGAAATTTATTAAAAATATATTCACATATCACACTTCCCCCGTAACCGTTTTAAGGTTACTGCTGTTCCAAAGCCCGGGTAAAGAAGGAGGGCTGGGCATGTAGTCAGCAACTTCGTCCCGTAGAACACAAACTTGCTAAACAAAACGCTAACCAGAAACAATCTAAACTCGAACCTGAAAGTTGAAGAATCTTCATTTAGAAGCGTTATGATGACTCACGGTGATTTCCATCCGTTCTTCAGCTAAAAATAGCTTGTAATAACAATCATCGTATTATAATGTGATCATGTTTGTTTTTTTATCATCTCAAGTGAATGATAAAAGTATGCAAACCGATCAACATGTTATTTTCTTATCGCTTTTTATTTCTGACTTCTATAATTAAAACAAGTCACTTTATGATACTCTAGCTGTACAGTGTTTTTTTTTGTTAGACTTTTTGGCTGATGTAAGTTTTTAATACATTACTGTGTAATGATATCATGAAGCCATTGTGGTATAGATATAATGCTGATCAAACTATTTCCAGTCACAATAATCTCAATGGTATCATTGTTTTATGTTAGTCAGTAAACCCTGTTTTCACGTAGGTTACATGTCGTTTGTCAATGTGCTGTACCCTCACTTGAACAAGCCGATACTTTTCCCTGTACTCGAACCCGTGTCAACCCAGCTTCACAGTCTAAGACTTTACCGTTGATCTAATAGTGTCACGACTCACCTCCTGCAAGGCTGAGATGTTTCCATAGAGTAGCCGTTGAGTAGTAACCGTTAGCACGTTTGTCTAGCCCTTTGGTACCAACCTAATTTTATTAATCATTCTGCGTTTCGACTCCTAGTTCATGTGACTTAACACTATATTTTCATTTCTTATGTAGTTGAAAAGTGTTGGTGATGCAGCGTGGCGAATGGTGAAGTATAACCTGTAAGGATACCATACAAAGAGTTATTGTCCATATTTTTAACTCAGTAATTATTAGACGCTCAGACTTGCATTATTTTATTCTCCGATTTGTAAGCTTTCATCTAACCCAGAAATCGTTGTCATATATCTTATTGTTCCAGATTTATAGTTAATTAATTAATTAATTACCCATATTGTACCACTCGTGACTAGGTTAAGTAAATATTGTGATTTTCTAATTGTGTTGTTGTATGATCAAACATTCCAGATATGTTATTGTATGAGTTTTGTGTCATGATTGAACCGACTATAATAAAGAGAGGGAGATCATACAACCGTTCCCTGTTACTATATCCTGACCACTCGAAACCCAATACAACCCGAATAATTTGTTTGCTTTTTTCAACGTAATAGTCAATAGAAATTCTTGCTTAATCCAGTTTAAATATCAGTTTTTTTCAATTATGAATGTACTGAATTTAAGTAAGTAGTAGCAGTATCCTACTGTAATATGCTTTTTTCTCCTCTTCCACTCTCTCACTTATCCATATAGATCGAAGGATTAGATATTTCGTTGATTGAAAATCCTGAAGATTACCCAACTGTTATCCATGGTACATATTTTCGTAATTGGGATTCAATACGTAGAGAGGGCTTAAAACGTATGCAACGTACTCATATACATTTTGCACCGGGTGAAGTTGGTGAAACTGGTGTGATAAGTGGTATGCGTTCAAGTGCTGAGATTATTATTTATATTGATTTAATTAAAGCAATAAATGATGGATATAAATTTTACTTATCAAAAAATAATGTTATTCTATGTGAAGGAAATAAAGAAGGTTGTTTACCGACGAAATATTTTCGTGCAGCTTATCAACGTAATCCACGTGAGTGAATTTCCATACAGATATATATATATATATATATATATATATATATATATATATATATATGATAATTGTTTATTATTTCACATACTCTTCGACAATTGAGAATTCAGCCTATTCCTACCAAATAATGGGTCCATTAACGCCATCATGTTTGGTCTCAAGTTCGACTCCCTATTCTACTGAGGTCAGCTTTGGCAACAAATCTCATATATAAAGCGTGGCTCAAAGCCAACCCACATGAACTTCTAGTTGGTAGGATGAGTCACAAAAAAATCATTCATAAAACTACACTAAATTCACCTGTTAGTAAACCCAACCACCAATCAAAGATTATCCAAGTAAAATAACTTGGATTTGTTTAAATCAGAAATCCATTCGATTATAAGCATAAAATTCGTGATCCCAACTTTCCATGAAATATTAAGTCTCAACAGGTAAACAAAAAAGAAATTTGTCATAGAAAATTAAGTAATAGGGGTGTATCGCTAATTAACTGTAATTTATAATTGGCGAAATAAACGAGATATCACTGAGGTCAATAAGTAGGCAGAACTTACAAGTAGAACAGTATTGAAATACCATAAACCAAGTGTTTAATAAATAAATATAGAAAGGCAAACAAACTGATTCTTCAAGAAAAGTTATATAATTTCCATAATTTTCTTTCCACGTTTCTTTCTCATAGGGAATCACTATTGTGCAACATTTAAGCTAGACATACAGTACTTATGTCCTGATAGTAGATCAGTTGATGAGAGGAGGGAATATGGAACTTCATTGACTTCGATATCTTTTACACAATTTCGGCAACTCCCTATCCAGGCCTATAGAGCTCATTTACCAAATAAAAGCTTGGGTACTAGACTATGAGTCACACTTTTGATGTAAGGTCTAACGACAACGCACTGTTATTCAGACTGTTCTAAGTGTCTTAGGGTTTGAACCCGGCACTTAGTGGTTGAAAGCTGGGTACTTTAACTTCTAAGTCATCAATGCAGCTTTTTGTCCTTCCCAGCGTACTCTGGAAGTTAGTTGGTTAATCCTACACAGACAAGTCGATTGGATTATCGGAAGAAAATAAATTTAGTTAAAATATACGAGATTATAACACCGAAGAAACCACAGCAAACGGGAACACTGGCAGTTTACTTTGGTACAATTCGTGTATATCAAGGACTTCGAGTCAACCATACTTTATGAATTAGACGAACACATTACTAGTCTACTTTTGTACAGCTGCATTAGGGACATTCCCATCGGGAAACCCAGTAACAACCCAAAAGCATTGAGAACAATAATGAATAGAAACCAGTATGAAACATGAATAACAACGCAAGTGTTTGTTACATGCATGTATAAAATACATGAACCAGAGTATATGCACTACATGTTACCTATACTAGCATAGATACTTTCTATCACAAGTATACGTTACTTACTTGCATATGTAGAATACATAGACCAATGCGTGTACACTACATAGTACATACATGGGTATGGGTGCGATTTGCCTTTGCTACTTATAGGTCGGAGTTCAATCCATTGACAATGAGAAATGAATCAATTAATTGCGTTCAAATCATCTGAATAAAGCTGTCTATTGACGATCAACTCCACACCCATACCATAGACAAGTTTAGAGTCCTGTGCACTGGTTACGACACAATTTATGGCCATCACTCTGGATCACACCGGACCTGACGGTCTTTCTTAGAGATAATCCATTCAGGCACCAAATAAAATAAATTCCTTTTTACGTTTCTTCATTTTATAATTATTTTTACCACACACCGCTTATATAGTCCATATTTACGATAGAGTGGGGGACTAGTACGATATCCATCCCTCATGTTAGCTCATGACACAAAGTCCCGTCATCTTCGGGGCACCTTGAGGTGTTAGTTGGACTCTACCCTGTCCCATAGAAACAAATTAGAATAACATCCCAAATGGCTGGTGTTGACGATAAATCGCACAGTTAAAAACAATCTCACTTCATATTCTGTCTTAGTAATCAATCCATAAGGTAATTGATTATTATTATAAGCTGTATAAAGATGTGACATACTCTTTGATTAATGTGAGAGATGGGAAGTTCTGTTAGGTAACTTTGTGCAAGGTTTTTTGAGGAATTTTATACACGCACAATCCATTTTATTGTTTTGAAGAGAGCAAGAACATATATTTGCGCAGAATAACATGAATTCATATTATTTCGAAAGACTGCTACTTAAATTAAAACATTTTTATGTAAATTAACTCAGGCACTTGAATTACGAGCCACACTCTTAGTACGAGTGCTGATAATACACTAGCTGGTTGCTTAAACTGAGGTAGGATTGAGCAAAGCTCGAAACCGGAACATATTGTTTGAAAGTCAAACTCCTTAACCATTAAGCCACCACTCCAAAACTGCTTCCTATAAGCATGACAAAAAATCAATCTTAGTTTGATAATACCGCACACCATCGAATTAATAATGTAATAATGAGGAGTTCATTAAGTCATGTTCTGATAGATATGTTTCTGAATTGAAAATAGTTGTGGCAAAATTACTGACTCTATTATGAATGATGATGGATTTACCATAAAATACTAATTTCCCTTTTAATTCCATATATGTTATAATTAGGTTAACCCTAATGGGCAACAGTGATAATAAAAGCGATATATGAATTGAATTAGAATTTTATTTTAGGCATTGATTTTCACGCAGATGTATGATAAAAATGAATAGAGCGTAGTGTGGTCTATGATTGTTGTTAACCAATCGACTTTCTTTAAGAGTTTGTCATCTTTCACGTTGGGTAAAGAATATATCACAAACAGGCGAATACCTAGGCAACTAATCATTCTATAAATAAAAATCAATATACGTACACACACACAGTACATATAAGAACACTCTGAAGGTTAATATGTATGATAACTTAACAAAGGCAAATATGAATGTACAGAGAAGATTCACGTGGGCATTGTAGTGTCTATATGGGCCTCTATACAATTAATGAAATGACAGAATATTTCAAATATTTTGGTTATATATTTATTATATGCAACGACATACAACCCATCTATTAGAATTTTTCAACAAGACGCATAATAACATACAGTTTATCATAGAACAATACGTTCCATTTCCTTAACGTTACCAATAACAAAAGTGACCAGTTGGTACACTTCAGAAAAAAGTTGACAAGACCCTAATAAGCTCAAATAAATTCATGTTATTTTCCGCGTCTTTATTTTTACTCTCTCCATGAAATACAAGAGAGGAATATTGACCAGTTCCAACTGGATTCGAAAGTCACTGTTACCAAACTCAGTCCTCTAGCTAACTACTCTTCTCATGAAACATGAAGGGTGATGTGATGAATTTAAATCTTTGTGATACAAGGTTATGGATGTACATTACTCTAGGTAGTCTTATACTAAGATCAAAACAAATTTGTTCGTTTTATTATGGCTTAGATCATAGATTGGTCTTAATTAAACAACCATCGGATACCAAGAAATACTGAACAGGTGGCTTATTTTAGTATGGGACGCCTCATTAGTGCACACTAATAACATGAGCCCATCAAAGGTCAGGGCCATTACCTTCAAGTCTCGCGACGAGCGCTTAACTTTTAGACCACTTTGTTAGCATCCATTAGTTTTTATTTCTAATTTCAATTGATTCGCGATGTTGCACAATTATCGTCCAATAATATTGGTAAGTAACTGCTTCGCTACCAGAAAGTTTGGACTTTAGTGATGATGGCTTCTTGCCAGAACTCTGAGAATCACATCTAGAAATAAGTCGCAAGTGTACATATTCTATCGTATCTTGTTTTTTGGTATAATATTATAAAATGCCTGAATATCTATCATTAACTGCCTGTCCATTAAGATCATTTTTTAAGTTAACTTTATTGATATAAAATTGCGGAGATTGTTGAATTTTATCGAAATTATGAACTTATTTAATTTAGAAAGTCATTGAAAACCTGGAAGCATTGAATGGCTGTTCCGTTCTAGTATGATACTCTACACTAGTGCACATCGACGACCCCGCAACGGGGAATTGAACCCCGAGCCTTCATTCTTGAGCTTCGACAGGTATTTTCTGGAGTCCTAGTGCGAAGCTGTGACTAGTGGAATTCAAACTTGTCGGATGTGACAGTTACTCAACACAGGCAATGAAGGATGGTGATGCAATATCGCGAATCGATTGAATTTAGAGATTAACACCATTGGGTGCCAGCTCATTGGTTTAAAAGTTAAGGGTTCATGCGCAAGACCAAAATTCGTGAGTTTGATTCCCTGTGGTAGGGTAATGAATTCGCACTGCAGAACAGTCCAGTACTAGAACGAGGCGGCTGTTCAGTGTTTCGGGGTTATTAATGGTTGTCTAACTTAGACCTGTTTGTGATCTCAGCAAAATTTAATTTTTCTTGATAGACTACCTCAGTAAATAGAGTAAGGGGTCCGAATAAATCTTATCATTTACAAAGAAACTTGCATAAAATTCATTGATATCATAGTTTTTCTTCTTCTTTGTGCCCGCTAACTATATGCTTCATTCGACAACTCAATTATACTAATATGTATATATATACTAAAATTGTTTGGTGACCCCCTCACTCTCCGTATAGAATTCTAATATATTCCGTCAACCATCGGTCAGAATTCTAGAAAGATTAGATAAGCACATCATACTCTCCCATATTTTTATTGAACTTAAAAAATTCCCGTGATCTTATACATTAAATATGAGGTTACAATATATGAAATTGCAATTTGTATAAAACTAGGTCATATGTTGTATAGAGCTAATTAACAGATATATAAATATTTAATTGTAATTCATGAACAGTAAGGGATTTTTATAACACTTAATAAGTTAAATAAATGCTTTTAATCAAGGTAAAGATGCCATAAACCAGTACATACATGTTATCATATATATGTAGATCGATACCCCAGAAAATAGCTTTCCAAGTTTCACATTTTTATATTTATTCATCACAATTTTAACAAATATAGTATTATCAAAAGGGGTTTGTGGAGATTTTAGAAATTTCACAGATTGAAATCATAAGTCAATTGAAGCTAGACCAACATGGAAAACCTGGAAGCACTGGACGGCCGTTTCGTCCTAGTATGGAACTCCTCAGCAGTGCGCACCCGTGAGATTCAAACCCAGGATCTATCAGTCTCGCGCGCGAGCGCTTAACCAATTAGACCACTGAGCCGGAGTATATATATATAATATACAAACTTATTATTCAAACCTTCTTTGATCCACTTCTTTTGGCTTTAAATAATCCTAAATGTTAGATGATTCTCATGACGAGATTCGACCACAGTTGACCATATGTTCAAGGATTGGCCTGTTTGACTGGCATAGATTTCCTTTTCAAATAGTAATACACAGTAGCACTCGAGTATGCATTTGACAAATCTACTCTGTTTACGACCAATATAACCTGTTCCACATCAACAATTAAACTTACAACCGCACACTGAGAGATGGTTCTAAGCAGTGATCGTTTTCCATCAAAAGAATTATCGTTCAAGATTATTCACTAATCCAAAAGAACTGTCTGAAAGTGTGTTCAAATCAGAAATTTGCACAATTCAAAGCTGATCTCTTGTTTTATCAAGGTTTTAGCACCCATTTTCTAATTCGGTATATGTATAAATATATACATCTAGTTTAACTTCCAAAAGTTCACTACTATAGAATAGTTATTGATATTGATTATCTATTTACACATATGATTTTTATAAGTTTATGTCATATGATATATTGAAATAACAATTATTATTATTTGCTAAAGTACTACAAGTTTTTAACTAAGTAATACAATATCAATGCTAAGCGGTAAGATCTCAGACTATATAGTTGAATAATAACATGGTTTCAAATCCGATAACGGGCATTCAGATTATCTAATGGTTCATCATCAAGTTGGAATTGAATAATTTTCAAGTTTATGTTAATATATAGGAAAGTAAAAGTTGTTCTCTAATTGAACAAAGTCATTATAAATCACTCAGTTGTTTGTTTACCAGTAAACTAACCTTGAAGTGAATTTCTTCAAATTCTATTGAGAAGCCATGATACAGCGGAAGTTCAATAAATATATCAACTTCACAAGTGATTTCACCGCTATTATACTTCACACAGAATAATGCCTTAGATGAGTTAAAACATCTTCCGGCAGTTACCAGATATATCTTATTATTTCCAACTACTTAACATATTTTAACTACCAGCTTTGACTATCCTTATGATAAACTTTGTGAAATTTTACGCTTGAATGATTTACACATTCTTACAATCTATTAAAATTGGTGTGTTTCCAAGCTGTGAGAAACCTATAGTAACAATGTCATTAGTTATAAGGTGAATGCTTCATGAAGCATTTACAATCCTCTATTAGGTGTCTTGTAAGACATATGATACTTTCTATTTAGCAGTATTTATAGGCTAATCCACATAAAAATTATGTAAATGCTTCCCATTGACCTCATAATACATTTTCAGTTGATATTGATTTAATAATACGAACGAACAGTTATTAGGACGCGTAGTATCTTGAGTCCGATATAGAGATACACAACCTTCTTATATACAAGCTTCCAACCAGCTACTGAATGAGATGACTAAAATGGGAAAGGACATTTATTGGACTAAACCGATTCACAGGCATAAACGCTCATATATATAACAGTATTGTTATATCCTTATCTCACTTTATAATATTAATTGAGATGGGATAAAATGTAAAATCATATTTACGTTGAGTGTGATATATTTAATTTGAATATCTAGTGTAATATTCATTTAGCGTAACTTTCTATCCAATTATTTTATTATAAAATTCTCAGTATTTACACTTACACTTGATATTCATTGACTAACCATTAAATATCAGAACTCGTTTGTTTTTCTTGCTTGGAGGGTAAATCATGTCTTCATATTGCCATCTATTTGTGTATCTTCTATCTGCCACTTAGTGCCAATTTCAGTTTCCTGTTTTTTAAAGTTGACTTTCTACATTTATAGCAGACAGTAGTATCAGGTTAAATGGTCTTGTGTAAATTATTTCACGTTGAATGTGATATTCATTATGGATTGATTTACTTCAAGATGAGTTAATGAAGTTTTACTAAAAAGTTGTGAATTTAATCATATCATGAGTAAAGCAGTCGTTATTAAAACAGTTGTATGAGCATTGAACAATGTCACAAGTTAGTTGAAACTAGAAATGTAAACCATTAGTTATCAATTTAATAGTTTCCATAATAAACTCTCTCTTTTGCTATGAAATTTAAAGATCTTGTAATCGATCCCTAATGTGTTCATAGGTAGATTACCATTAAAGAATCACATACGACGATGAAATATCTGTCTAATATTCCCTTGTTTCAACTAGTTTTTACTGTTTAAATACTTGATATTCAACCAATGAACTATATGTATTATCTTCTTCCCCTTGCATTGTGTACATCTTCAGTTTTCTCATGTTTCATATGTTATTTTTCAGCAGTTATATCGACGTCTCTTTCTCTGTATTAATATAAGCTTTGTCATTACTCTGTATTGTTTATTGATCGTTTCTACTATTCATATTGTACTTTATGTTTCTTTTTTTTTTGGAATATATACATGTGTAAACACGTATGAATAATTATGAATTAGAATGTACATATATCTCTATATACTTGTAGTTAAGCTATAATGCCAAGTATATTTTACCGTATATAATCACTTGTTGTCGGATTAGATAATATTTAGTTGTATATACTTAAACTATATGGATTATTTACTCTGTTTTTGTTCTTTTTTTTTTGTTTTTTTTTATACATTTTTATTGATTTTAATTATGTACAAATAGTTTATTGATTTCTACGTTGATGTTGTCCAATTCTTTTCATTATTTCAAGAATATTAAAGCTGCATATTTTTGTGATAATAATAATAATAATAATAATAATAATAATAATAATAATAATGGTAATGGTAATAGTAACGGTAATAAACAGCAATAATAACAGTGATTTAAACACTTATTATATCATGTTATTGTGACCTTATGCATTCAAGTACAAACTGTCTGTTTCTTCTTTCATATAAAATTGTAGTTTATTGTGCCATTGATAAGTGATTGTACGAAACAGAATTCTTAACTGTACTTTGTAACCCTTTAGGGAAGTCTTCCACTTTTAAGGTTTATATAGAAAGCAAGAGGAAATGTTTAGGACTTTGTGACCTTGAGAGGCTGAAAAACATTCTAAGATTGGCAATAAATTCAATAAAATCATTCAATTAGGAACATATAAACAATTTCTCGTGAAAATCTCTAACGATCGTTTTGATTGATTGAAGTATGTTCAGCATTTTCTTAGATTCAGAAAACTTTTTCGATGACTTATCAAGAACACTTAAAACGCATTGATTTATGTCTTTATATAATAAAATTGTCACTTTACAATTGTACCCTTTTCTATTGTGTACTCTGAGATTCAGTTCATTTTAACATTTGATTATCCAACTGTGTGGTGAGAGAAAATTGTGAAGTGTTATTTTTTATAACTGAATAGTAACGTTTACAATAGTTCATCAGACAGACATGAACACGTAAGAAATAATAATAGCTTTGTTTAAATGAGTAATCCCCACACTGACTATGCCCTGTCTAAACATATCATTACGGTGTGGCTTGGAGATACTATGTGATTTCTCCAACTTTACCCGACATATCACCTCAAGAAACTTCCCATCATTATAGTTCTCAATATCTAGATCATGGACATTTGAATTACCCCATTTTTAAAATACATTGACTGAAGTAACATAGCGAATATTTCAATGATTACTACTTGTATATGTGCTTTGTAATATTCAACTTATTGTATACTGATTTGTTTATATTACTGTTTGTTGTTTTTCTTTTCTATACGTGCACAGGTCTTAAACTTTCACTCACTCCGTAAAACAGCTGACTTGAATAAAGCTTCTCGTATAAAGAACATACTTATATTTGTTGTGTATAAAGATAAAATTCTCACAAACATTCTGATACAAAAGTACAAAATTTGGTCAATACAGTTATATCGTGATTATGTTTACTTCCAGTTTCAACTCTACGTTAGTGCACTACACTTGAACAGCCCACTTTCATATATTTATCTATATCTTTTGTTTTCTGTTATATAATATAAACTATTTTTACTCTAAACGAGTAGTTTGTTGTTTTGGAGACTATTTTGTTTTATTTTCCAGATAGATATTCAGATTCGTTTGACTGATTTTTGACTTTTTGGTTTGCTATTGTATAACATATATATAATTTTTTTATATTTGGATTTTACTGAGCTGCATATTCTTATGCATATTACATAGAATTGTACACATTTGAATTACTACATTATAAAGAGTTATTATCAATCCTAGTTGTTTTTACTTTACGTCATATCTGGTTTACATATTTTGGGTGGGGAAAACCTTGTGTTGATACATTTTCTCCTTTTGATATTCTCCGCTTATATTGTTATCATAAAATATTTGTCAATTTGAACCGCTGTACCCCAACTTCGTCAATTCTATATGATAATGCTTTGTAGACACATCCAGTGTAAGAAAGTTACCACTTAATGACACTTAGTTATGATCACACATTTTATATACAGTTGACTGGAGTAGGAAATGTGAATCGTTGCTGGTTGTAAACCCAATGATCTCAAAGTAATGCAACCAGTATGATGGTTGTCCTGAGTCCTTTTTTTAGCGGGGTAGTGTATCCACACCAGAGGAGTGCAATACTCGAACGTAGTATTCATTCAGTGACCCTTGGTTTTCTAGTGATTCTCTAGCTATATCCAATATCTCATATACTTCATGATCGAGGTCTGTCGTTTGGTTTTAGTTTGTCTTATCGTGAATCAGTTTAAGCCGACTAAAAAGGATCGTATTCAAACGTCGATGGGGTCGTGGACGAGCACTGATGTGGGGTCCTATGCCAGAATGAAACAACTGTTCAGTCATCCCTGGTTTGACTGAGATTAGTCAGTGATTCAAACTGCAACGTTCAACAGTATCCAAAAACCGCTTATACTGATATTTAATTGGTCGTTATCTACATATTATTGTAATAGGACGACTATCTTCTAGCCATTGGATTAATTGATTCAGAGTTTCCAACACTCCTCTAAATACGGTTTGGGCAACTACATCGAAACGTCTAGTTCAAAATTGAGTAAACGAAACCTGTACAGAATTATCAGGTCCCACCATAATATTAATAATCCACACTCCATGAATTGTAGGAAACTGACGATATTGTGATGAATGGTCTAAAAATTATCTACAGTGGAAGTATTTCAAATCAATAATTCTATTAGCCGAACAGTTCTTCACTCACACTGACCTATCTGACGATCGAGTTCGTCGCATTAATGTAATAGTAGTACTAATGATAGTAGTTATTACTATCGATTTATTCAATACTTTGAATTTCGTAACAGTAAGGAAATCTTAATACTAGCTATGGAATATTGTGATGAAGTTCCCTTTAACTTACATTCAATATGTAATTATCCCTGCAAATATGTGACTTCCAAAATGTTTTCAAAAGTCAATATTCGCCGCTGGTCTATTACTTTAGCTGCTAGGATTTTTTCCACCCAGCGGAGATATTCATTGAGTGAATTTCAGTATAGTCAACTCTCTTCTCTACAAACAATAAACTAGGAGAGAAAATGCCAAAAAACTATAGTGTTTATTTTGATATTGTTTTGCTTATATCTTCCCGTTGAGGTTTAAGACTGCAATCGATCAGTCTGTTATTGGCATATGTGGTCAATTGTAGTCTTAAACCTCAATGGGAAGACACAAGCAAAACAATACTAAATGGATTTAAATTCACCCCATTGCACAAGCAAGTGGCTATCAGGACTCCGTAGCTGAGTGAATAACGCAATGGCGTTTGGAGCGGATGGTACTGGGTCTGAGTCCCGGAATGAACGTCAACTTAGATTCAGGTACATCCAGCTGGTGAGTCCCAAATAGGATGAAACGCGTGTCGAACTGGATTCCACTGCTAGTCACTGTCCATCTTTACTTATATAGTGTTTCTGTTAAAGTCTTCTAGTATATGCCATTGTAAGAAGTTGTAAGGTTTATGGTTAGCAAATCGAAAAATAGGAAGTTTTATTGAACTATATGCACAGTAAAAAAATAAATATTCTTAACTTTTATGGAGTTGACCGACGTAGATAGCATCCAATTACTAACGATATTTAATAACATATTTAGGACAGTAAGAGTTATCAGTTTATCAGAATGGGTTTTGTGGAGAATTTTAGAAATTTTCACAGGTTGAAATCATGAGTCAGTTGAAGCTAGACCACCATTGAAAACCTGGAAGCACTGGACGGCCGTTTCGTCCTGGTATGGGACTCCTCAGCAGTGCGCATCCACGATCCCGCACCACACGGAGCTCGAACCCAGGACCTACTGGCTTCGCGCGCGAGCACTTGACCACTAGACCACTGAGCCGGCATCCAACGGTGTTAATGTCTAACTTCAACCAATCCACGAAGTTGCGCCACCGTACACCATTGTCTTCAGTGAGTTGTTATCTCACAACAGACCGGTTGAACTCCACTGGTAACGGCTTCTCACTAGAACTTCAGGAGTTTTTCCTGAAGTCATTCACTAGTGAGCAGTTGATTATTATTATCAGAATGGGTTTTGTGGAGAGTTTTAGAAATTTCACAGGTTGAAATCTAGTGGTTAAGTGCTCGCGCGCGAAGCCAGTAGGTCCTGGGTTCGAGCTCCGTGTGGTGCGGGATCGTGGATGCGCACTGCTGAGGAGTCCCATACCAGGACGAAACGGCCGTCCAGTGCTTCCAGGTTTTCAATGGTGGTCTAGCTTCAACTGACTCATGATTTCAACCTGTGAAAAGTTATCAGTTTGTTGGAGACACTGAGTCAAGTGAAATTTATCTAAACTGCACAACAAGATGGTCAAGCATTAGGAAAGTGTTTAATGACAAAAGTGGACTGAAGATTATGACAATTTCATATTAACAGTAGTAATAATAGTAGTGTATGTATCAGGGGTTGTGGCAGTAATAAGTTATTAAGTCAAATATGTCTCTGGAGTTAATGGTTTATAAGAACTGACAGTATTTTGAAAGACATAGCATTGAACTCATCATCTATTTTGGATCTTTTAATAGTAGCCAATAAACCATAACACTATTGCTCAGTGTTGTATCAGAAATTTTAAATATCTATCGCAAACTATAAGATGTATTGCATAAATGTTTTGTATTTTATTTGCCTAATCAGATGAGTTATGCGTCTGAATAATCAATATCATTCGTTTAGCTTAATGGTGTTCTGATATATTCATCATTTGTGTATAGAAAGTACAGTAACAGAACCAATCAATTCATTTATAGTATTATATTTGAGTACATAATAGAAACTACTCTAAAAATGAGACTGAGTAAAATTCTTTGTGATACTAATAAACCAAAAAATTAACTAAATTAGTAACTAGAAGCATGACTCTTATCATCTGTTCCAATAATAATTGTGATCAAATAATTAAAAATAATTATCATTATTGTTTCCAGATCATATGTCACACTAATCTATTAAAAGGAACTTAGTTTTAAAAAGTCATATAGTTTGCTTATTTGTTTGCATTAGTGTTCACAAATCATAAGAACAGTACATAATCACAAAACTTCTTAGACAACGTTTGCCTACTTATAAGTAGTCAAAATTATATAGCTAAAATGTCAACCATAGGCTTTTGAATCAAAAAATTTCAAAATGAAGCAAAAATGAATATTAAATAAATTTTAAGAAGCGCCTTGTTTGTAGATCATGGACGATAACTAAATCAAACAATAAAGCCAAACCTGTAGATAAAATTCAATTGGAACATTAAATCAATATGATTACTTCAGGATATATATGGTTACTAATAACGTTTTTCTAAATCAATAAAATATATTCCATAATGTTTAAAATCTCGGGCTAACTTTGATTAGGTTAAAACTGGCAACCTGGAACCCCTGGATAACTGTTTCGTCCCATCAATGGTTCTTTTCACCAACATATACCTAGGATCATACGTCAAATACACTTTATTTATACCACAAAGTAAGAGATCCGTCAGTTTATATTGTCCAGTTTCATTCAATTCGTGATATTAGGCGACCATGATTCAGTATTATTAGTGATATTTGTCTTGGCCAATATCTGAAACACTCATATCTAATATCCAATAACAATTATAGATATCCATTTATACAATTCTTTATTGACTTCTTATATTTGTTATCATTATGATCTTTTATAAAATTAGAAATCAATGGGAACCACTTAGAACTAAGAACTCCTGTGAAGTTATCATTCATTATCTGATTTCATACTAGCCGCAGTATTGATTTGAAATAAAATAGTTTTAATTCCGGGTTGAAATTGAAAGAGGATGTGAGTAGTTTAACGGTAACATTTTACACTATGAAACTGAATGATATGGGTTGAAATTCTACAGGAAATAATAGTTATCTCAAGATTTCAAGTAAACATTACTAACGAGTCCCAACTAACATGAAACTTGGGTCAAGTAGAGCACCTAGTCAATTACCTCTAATCACTTAATGCTTAAAAATACGTGCTGCTTTCTAGATGCTACAATTTATTACTAGATAAAAATGAGTAATAACTTGGTGGAGGGTTGGAGATATTTCACTAACCAGTTCAAATAATATAGAGGAGCAGTCCATTGACAAGTGAAAAATTTTGCATAAAACTACTAATCGGTTAAAAATTAAATTTTGTCCGTTATTTTAGTATTAAGATAATTCACGACAACATGTACAGTACCACATTAAGTGGTTGGAAGTAATCGACAGGAAACCCCGAACCAAGATTCAGTTCTAGTTGGCACTTGTTGATGAAGCGTAGTCGGAATTTAAGGGAACTGATACTCTGTGCAGGATTTGTATCCATGTAACCCGGACTCACTCTCTAGAAAATTATCAGTAAGCTACTCAGGCTTCAAATGACCTTCTACACCACTGAGTTATTTACACTGATCACTACTTACGTGTCACGACGAATGCCAGTTAGCTCGAAATCAAACATGGTTTCCTGAAGACGAACTTTAACCACTTAACAATTCAACATAATTCATTCAGTGTTAAGTCACTTAGACTAATAGTTAAACTGAAACTTGACTGATAGAATCTAAGAAACACTAAAGGATTAGAAAAAGGTGAATTCGATCATTCAATTCATATAGTAGTATGTGTTCGAATTCACAGTTCCTTTTATTGTTAATTTTGTTATTTTTTTTTTTTGATCATATTCTCAAAAAAGATCATCATCAAATTCAATTGCCTTCATAAGAGTAAAGGTTAGAA